TGTCCCCACCTCCAAGGCCAGGTGCCACCCATGGGGACAGGCACCCATCCCCATCTCCAAGGCCAGGTGCCACCCATGGGGTCAGATGTCACCCATGGGGACAGGCACCCATCCCCATCTCCAAGGCCAGGTGCCACCCATGGGGTCAGATGTCACCCATGGGGACGGGCACCCATTGTGGGTGCAGATGTCACCCATGAGGGTCACCACATGTCCCCACCTCCAAGGCCAGGGGCCACCCATGGGGTCACCACGTGTCCCCACCTCCAAGGCCAGATGTCACCCATGGGGACAGGCACCCATCCCCATCTCCAAGGCCAGGTGCCACCCATGGGGTCAGATGTCACCCATGGGGACGGGCACCCATTGTGGGTGCAGATGTCACCCATGAGGGTCACCACATGTCCCCACCTCCAAGGCCAGGGGCCACCCATGGGGTCACCACGTGTCCCCACCTCCAAGGCCAGATGTCACCCATGGGGACAGGCACCCATCCCCATCTCCAAGGCCAGGTGCCACCCATGGGGTCAGATGTCACCCATGGGGACGGGCACCCATTGTGGGTGCAGATGTCACCCATGAGGGTCACCACATGTCCCCACCTCCAAGGCCAGGGGCCACCCATGGGGTCACCACGTGTCCCCACCTCCAAGGCCAGATGTCACCCATGGGGACAGGCACCCATCCCCATCTCCAAGGCCAGGTGCCACCCATGGGGTCAGATGTCACCCATGGGGACGGGCACCCATTGTGGGTGCAGATGTCACCCATGAGGGTCACCACATGTCCCCACCTCCAAGGCCAGGGGCCACCCATGGGGTCACCACGTGTCCCCACCTCCAAGGCCAGATGTCACCCATGGGGACAGGCACCCATCCCCATCTCCAAGGCCAGGTGCCACCCATGGGGTCAGATGTCACCCATGGGGACGGGCACCCATTGTGGGTGCAGATGTCACCCATGGGGTCACCACGTGTCCCCATCTCCAAGGCCAGGTGCCACCCATGGGGGCAGGCACCCATCCCCATCTCCAAGGCCAGGTGCCACCCATGGGGGCAGGCACCCATCCCCATCTCCAAGGCCAGGTGCCACCCATGGGGGTCACCATGTGTCCCCACCTCCAAGGCCAGGTGCCACCCATGGGGACAGGCACCCATCGCAGGTGAAGATGCCACCAACAGGGATGGACACCCATCATGGGTGCAGATGCCACCCATGGGGGTCACCATGTGTCCCCACCTCTAAAGCCAGATGCCACCCATGGGGACAGGCACCCATTGTGGGTGCAGATGTCACCCATGGGGGTCACCACGTCCAGGCCAGGTGCCACCCCTGATGGTGGGCACTCATTGTGGGTGCAGACGTCACCCATGGGGGTCACCACATGTCCCAGTCTCCAAGGCCAGGTGCCACCCATGGTGATGGGCACCCATCGCAGGTGCAGATGTCACCCATGGGGGGGTCACCACGTCCAGGCCAGGTGCCACCCCTGATGGTGGGCACCCATTGTCGGTGCAGACATCACCCATGGGGATCACCACATGTCCCAATCTCCAAGGCCAGGTGCCACCCGTGGGGGCAGATGCCACCCATGGGAGTCCCCCCGTGTCCCCTGGTGGTGGGCGCCCAACCCCACCTCCTCCCCCGTTGGCCAACAGCTCCTTGGGTGGCCCCTGCTTCTCCCATGGGCTCTCCCATGACCTTCTCATGACCTTGTCACCCCACAGGAGGCCCCGCCCCCTGGGGGACATCAAGGGGGGACACAATTCCCCCCCCCCCTTCCCCCCCCCCGCCTACTTATCAACCC